TCTGAGTCATGAACATTAGAGTTATTAACTGTGGACACTACTTTTAGAAATAAATCAGTGTTCTAGCAATACTAAACATATATTCCTATATTTAAAGTTATTGTCAGCTTATAGTTTTAAATTAGAAGTATATTTCAGAATAACTTTCAGTAAAAAAATAAGGTATTTCATTATACATGAAGACAGAAAATTTTCAAGTTCTAATAAATGATAATGCCATTTTTTTTTTCAGTCTTTACTTTGGAAATTACATGATAACAATCCTACAACTCTTGAAACACTAGCTTTTGGGGGTAAGAGTCACCTTAGTCCCAAAATATCTGAAGGTGGTTATATCAGTGGAAAAAACATTGCTACAGACCTTAAAAAAAATCCTTATCTAGTGTTTTTGCAGTGAAATCACAAAATTACCTACAACCCAGTAGAAAAAAATAAGGAATAAATTAACCACTTTTCACAATTTGTAAAATGTTTTTAGAAAACTTCAAGAAATCAATAAGTTAAACTAATGATCATCGCTACCAACCAAAGGAAAACTTATGTTCCATGGTCCAACACTCTGGTCACAATATCACTTTCACAATAAAGTGGACAAAAAGCCAGAAAGACCAACTCTCAGATACTAGTCTAGCCTAACTTACAAGTCAGGATCTCTCAGGCTTCAGCTTCCTCACTTGTTAAATTAATGGAATTATTCATTCAATGTTGGCTGAAGGCCTACCATGTGCCAACCCCTGTGCTAGCAATGGACATTTTTATTTTTGTTTTAGTAAAACCATGATCTTTTTTTCCTTGCAAAGCTCCTAATCTTGCGAAAAGATGAATAAATGTAACATGATAACTACTGTGAACAAACTGCTATGCCTGGGAAAATCACAAAAGGCTGATAGTTTTTAAAGCTGAGACTTGTACAATGAATATGAGTTGCTTAGTTAGAGATAGAGATGATGGGTATTCCCTGCAGAAGAACAGACCGCATGGACAAGACAAAAAAAGCAAAAAGAAAGAGGTTTAATGTAGATGGTGCACAGGCTGGGTGTCAGAGAAAACCAATGGGAGGTAAACTTTGAGCCTTAGAGGCCTCATTAGTAACTTGAGTTTTAAGCAACAAGCCACTTAAATACTACTGGTAAGGTTCCTTCTACACTAAGGCTCTGAAAATTGGCTGTAGGCCCAAGAAGGCAAATATGATTTCTCTACCATCTCATTTGAAGTTTTTAAGAGTCTCTTCAAGCAAAAAACAAACAAACAAAAAACTACTATCCAAGTTTTGATGCCGATACCATGAAACCTAAGAAAACTCTCTCAATTGATAAATTTTGTGACTAACGGGCTCCTATTATTACTATAGTTAACTACCATTCAAAAAACAAGATATAGGACAAGTGCTTTACTTCTGCTTTTTACCAAATACAAACTATAGACCTAGAAGTGTGAAAATTAAAAACATATTAAATTTATATGCCCTCAAAAATATTTTTCGTACTTTGTTCAATTCAAGCTCTACTCTGAATACCAGTAAACTGGAAGTACCAAAAGGGAATATAAAGTCCCATTTACCTGTGTTCTGCAGGAACAGGGGGTGGCCAGACAGCAGGATCTCTAACTGGTTCATCTTGACAGGACACAGGGAAATCTGGGGGCTTGTCGATTTTAAAACTTTCTAAAGTGCTGACAATACTTTTAACTTGTTCATATTCTTCCAACAATTCCTGCCGAACCTTAAAAAAAAATTAACTTTTATGCTAGAAACTGTTAACACATTTTATAAATTATAATAAAAGATTCTTATACAGTATAAATAATAAATTGCTATATAATGCAAGTTTTCTTAATGCCATTCAAAAAATGTAAAAATGAATCATTAAAATATACTCAAAAACACAAAGAATTATTTAAAATAAGGTAGAGAAAAGAGCAGAAATTAGTTAGAAAAAGATATAATTATATACCCCTTTTAATAAGCAAAGTCGTTATATATTTTTCATAATGAAACTATTTCCACCAAAAATGTGATCATCATTAACACAATTTGAAACAAGCTACTAAATTGGTAACAAGTTAACCATTTCCAGAAATCTAAAATGCTGTGCTAAATCCTAATGATATACTGTATTTATAAATAGATTCCAAAAAATTTCACCAGCATTTCCTATCCCCAATATTGATAAATATAAAATGCCTGTGACAAGTATCTAAAAGCCAGAAACAGTGTAACAGTATGAATTACACACTTCCAGCTTTTTTTGGTTTTTTTTAGAGACAGAGTCTCACCGTATCACCCTTGGTAGAGTGTGGTGGAGTCACAGCTCATAGCAACCTCCAACTCTTGGGCTTAGGTAATTCTCTTGCCTCAGCCTCCCACGTAGCTGGGACTACAGGTGCCTGCCACAATGTTTGGCCAGGGTCAGTTCAAAAGTACCACCCTCAGTATATGGAGCCAGCGCCCTACCCACTAAGCCACAGGCGCCACCCACACTTCCAATTTTTATTTCAATTCTGCTCTCCATAAAATCTGAATTCTTTTGGCCTTATTTAAATCTTTCATGTCCTGTGCAAAGTTTATTTTGAATTCAAAAGCAGTATTTTTTTAATATTTAAAATATTTAACTGAGTACCTACTAGAGAATTTTTATGTTTTCAAACTCTGAGCTCAAACTAGTTTTCAAAAGCGAACAGATAAAGACTAAAAATTACATTTACAAATTCATTTTAACTATTCTAATTTTTTTTTTTTTTTGCAGTTTTTGGCCGGGGCTAGGCTTGAACCCACCACACCAGCTATATGAGACCCATGCCCTACTCCTTGAGCCACATGCTTTGCCTTATTCTAATGTTTTTTAACTAGAAATTACATTTTACTATAAGGCAAAGCAAAAGAAACTTTCCTTTAATCTTGAATACTATACTAAGAGGGAACATACAAAAGAGCTACAGAACCAGAGAAAAATCTGAGTAAAGTAAGCCGGGCATTGTGGTGGGCGCCTTTCATCCCAGCTATCTGGGAGGCTGAGGCAAGAGAATCTCTTGAGCCCAAGACTTTGAGGTTGCTGTGAGCTATGATGTCAGAGCACTCTACTGAGGGCAACAAAGTGAGACTCTGTCTCAAAAACAAAAAAAGAATTCAATTGTTAATACACATATTATATATAATATGTGATACTAAGAGAACTGTAATTTCAGAACCCAATGGAAAGAACACAGTAGAAACATCTGAATAGAAACTGTCACTATTTAACACACACAACTAAGACCATGTCAAAAATATTCCATAATAGATTAATAAACTACCTTGCCTGTGGCTAGTAGGAAGGATAGCAGAAAACAACTCAAATTTCAGCCTGAGGAAATATATTGCTGTCACTCATCATAATTTGGTAACACTTAAATCAGAAAATAAGCTAGATCTACCCTCAAAATTTAGTAAAACATCAATTTCTAACTAGTGGAAAATTAGAAGAAACACTTGAAAGGCATTAGTACATAAAATGAAAACTTCAAAGAAATGCTTGACTTTGTACTTTTTATTTTAAAAATATTTTAAGTTTTAACAATAAGTGGAGAGTGCTTGCTTTGGCAACATATATGATAAAATTGGTACAATACAAAGAAGATTAGCCAGGGTGACACACAAACTTATGAAGTGTTCCATATGTTCTGACTTAAAGTTTTCTAAAAAGTATGGCATAGTGTTTTAGCATAACAGGTAAAAAACACAAACTTAATTAATGAGCCCTTGTAAAAGAAAGCCAACTTTGTTTAAACTTTAGTGAAGATGGATGGTTTTATTTAATCATTTTGTTAAAGAAATACATATTATTTTGATTAGTAGTACTCGTAAAAAAATTCTTTTAACGTTACAAAGAATTAGGAACTAGGACACCACAGCAAGAACTGATAGAAGATACTGATCAATTAAAATATTAAATTAAAATTAAATTTAAAAAATAGTTAAGATGGGTAATTATAATTCAAGTGTTTATTAAGTATACTATTAAATAATCAAGTTGTATAGTGAAAAGACAGTAAACATTTTAATTTTTATCATGTTATCTATTTGCATTTGTAAGGAGTCTTTCAAAAGATGAGGAAACTTTCTAAAGGAAAAGTTTGATGAAATAAGACAAAATTACATATAAAAATGAAAAGGGGAGAGGGCAAGTAGAAATACCTTATTTTGAAAATTTGAAGTCATATATAATTAACTGATTGGGGAAAGAATTAAAAGTGGATTCAACTAGAATTGAATATCTTCAAAATATACCTCAAGAAATATGTAATCAAAAATAAAATAATAATCAGATATTAGAAAACTGTTCAGAGTACATTTTAAATATGTTTCACTATTCAGAAAAACAAGAATTTTTCAAGATGTCTTAAACTAATTTTCTAATTCTAATCTCTCAAGTGTAATAGAATGCTGTCACCCTCATTCATTAATACTTCAACATTTTCTCACCTGTTGCCATTTGCCTTTGACAGCTGGATCTCTGACTGACTGGCAGTGTCTCTGAATCTGCTGTATCACCCCTTGGTAGTAAACCATCGATGAGTCATAATTTCCAAGAAGTGCATATTCTCTTCCTTTCTTTGCATTGTCACAAATCTCAGCCAAATTCATCCTTTGCTTATGCTTTCAAACTCTTTCGGAGACCTAAACATAAAATATAATGACTTTTTAAAAGTTTTCAGCACAAACTTTAAAGCATTTTTTATTACTTAAACATCTACTTAAGGGGACTGGGCAAGGTGGCTCATGTCTGTAATCCTAGTAGAGTTCTGGGAAGCCCAGGTGAGTAAATCGCTGGAGTTCAGGAGACCAGCCTGAACAAGAGTAAGACCCTGTCTCCACTAAAAATAGAAAAAATTAGCCAGGTGTTATGGTGGACACTTACAGTCCCAGCTACTCAGGAGGCTAAGCCAAGAGGATCACTTGAACCCAAGTGTTTGAGGTTGCCATAAGTAGGATGCCACAGCACTCTACCCAGGGCACTCTACCTCTGTCTCAAAAATAAATAAATAAATAAATAAATAAATAAATAAAATAAAATATCTACTTAAAGCTACTTTGAAAGTGAAAATAATTACCTTTCATGCAAGATTATCAGAATACATCTTAAATACTGAACAACACTTCCAATTTGGGACATACAAAGGTGATCACAATAGAACAACGAAGGAAGTGATAGGGAGAAAAGTTAAGAAGCTCTGAACTATTGACATATACTTGTTTACAAGTATATAAATCGGACAATATATGTCTTCCTCATTTATTCATAATTACCACAAGCAGCATATCATAGCAAAGATAGCCTTGCTTTGTTTTATTCAATTTATTTTGACAACATAGAAATAAATATACAAACTTCACATAAATAAGTGAATGTTGGCTCGGTGCCTGTGGCTCAAGTGGCTAAGGCACCAGCCACATACATCTAAGGTGGTAGGTTCAAATCCAGCCCAGGCCCGCCAAACAACAATGATGGCTGCAACCAAAAAATAGCCAGGCATTGTGGCAGGTGGCTGTGGTCCCAGCTACTTGGGAGGCTGAGGCAGGAGACTTGCTTGAGCCCAGGAGTTGGAGGTTGCTGTGAGCTGTGATGCCACAGTACTCTACCCAGGGGGACAGCTTGAGGCTCTATCTCAAAAAAATAAATAAAAATAAGTGAATGTTATATTTCCATTAATGTTAGTTAAAATAGAAATTAGTTCTCACTAAGACATTTGGCCACAAGAATAAAAAGCTATACTTGAAAGACCGACCTTAGTTTATAGACACAGCCAGCCTATATCTGCCCATGCATTGTTTATATGCACTTAGTGGCCTCAGAAACTTAAATTAAATCTACGTTTAAAAAAACTATCTGAACTCTTTTTGCTCTTCAGTGTGCAATCTTCTATGATCCTGCTATTCTCTATGGCTTTTTGACTGCACAAATAACTATCACTCATCTTTTTCTATGAGATACTAATTAGAATATCTTCTATACCTCTGGTTTGCATCAAAGCCCTCCGGTATAGTAACTGTTTGTTCTGGGCTTTCCAAAAGTTGCCTAGATCATCCAAAGCTTCTATACAAAAACATGTTTCTCTCAAGACTACAAAGAATAGGAAGTCCAGAGATATAGAAGAATGATAGCCTGGAAATTGCCTTATCTTATTTCCTAGAACAGAAAACCAATGAATACACACAGTAGAGAAAATCAAAATACTTCCCTATGCTTTCCTAAGTGAATCAAACTTTGATTTGGGGAGCTTGACTTTCTCTTTCTCTCATTTATCTACTGTTCAGAAGTTCAAAAATTCCTCCCCCAAATCAAATTTAACTAGTTCTAGGCATTTCAACTGACTTCAGCATGTTCTTAAAAAGAAAGCTATTTCTTTATGACTTTTATCATATTATTTGGCGCTTATTCCATCCAGTATAGGTTCCTAGAAGGTAGAGTTATGTTACTTGAGAATCACACTGGAGCAAATAGCATGCTACTTTCACACCATTACAAATTTCAATGGTAAGCAGATCTATCCAGAGTGCAGGACAACCACAGAAAGTCTCTTCTTCAAATTTAGAGTGCTAACATAAAACAGTAAGGTCTTATTACAATGTATAAACTGCAATTAATAAATCCAGTAGAAACAAAGCTGCTCCATTAATTACTTCCTTTTAAAGTCATTGTGGAAAAAGTAGGGGCAAGGCAAAATAAATAAACAAAATAAAATCACTGTGACACTAGAGTATTAATTCTGCTAATGAGCAGGAGTACACAAGTATGAAGGATAAAAAATATCTTTTCTTATGAAGGACCAATCAGTAAATAGTTTAGATTTTGAGGACTAACAAGGAAAATTGAGGCTATTATCAAAGAACTTAAATAATGAGACAAAAATTTCCACAATCTTTGTTAGAAAAATTCAAAATACAGTAATAACAATAGGATACAACTTTCTGTCAGACAGGTCAACTAACGAGAAGAATGGAACTCTTTGGGGGGATAATATTTCACTTACTTGGGATTCAAAGTGCTCTTTATCATCAACATCAATTGCAAATGTTCATATGTTATAAGTGCTGATCTTCAAGAAGAGTTTACTTTTTTCATCCTTGAAAATGTCTTTTTTCAAAAAATACCACACAGTTACTACCACACACTGATATAAAATTATAAGGATATGATTTCAATTAAACATATTCATTGTTTGGAAGGCAATGAAAGAATTTTTTCCTCTTTTTAGTTTTTGCCTTTTAGCATGACATTACATTATAGATTAATCACTCCAATTAAAAATGCCTCAACTGCAGTTAAATGGATTTTATAATATGAAATTTTCCTTTGCGCTTGCATCAAAGTCTGAAAAATGCTGCTGAAACTGTAGTTTGAGCTCAAAAATATATCCACTGAAACTCTAGGGGGGAATGGAAACCTCATTTCTTTGTTTTAATTTTGACAGCATGGAAAGCTATATAAAATGACTTGTATTACTTGTGATTCAAACATAAGTTGTCATCAAAATAATTTTATTGCAGTTTTAGTTTTGATATAAGCACTATTTTGTCCTGCAATTTTAGGTTGAATTCATTAAGAAACATTATCAAGTCTCCAATAAAAGCTGATTTCCAAAGCCATTCAGTTTAATAATAGCAGTTGAAAGCAGTTCCTCCCTTTCAGAAAAATTTCGATCTCAGCCCTAACTCTCAAAAGTCTGCAATAAAACCTTACCACTACTGAGCAATCAAACTGCTCTACAGTAGGGCAAGTAAGGATATTCAGCTTCTATAGCTGACAAAAAATTCATAAAACTGACAATGGCTAAGTCAACTAGAGCAAATGTTGACACTGCTGGTTCCATATTACACGACAGATTCAAATTTTTCTCTAAAATACCTGCTAAAAAATAAAATAATAAATGACCACAGACTTTAAACATCTCAAATTTTCATAGTTTTATACATTTGTCCACCTGAGCATTTTTCCGTTCTACACAGATTTTTACCATCATCAGTTATAACACATCTTAGTAAACAGCACTTCAGGTTGTATAGAAATAGTGTTTTCTTAACTTTTTGAAAATACCTTGTCTATAGTTATTCTACACACTATTCATTAAGACTAATTCCTCAATAACTTCAAAGTCAGCAATGATTTCTCAAATAAACAACAACCGTGCAGTATTAGTAACATCTGTCAACTCATCAAGAGTCAAAGGAAACCACTTTGCCTTGGTGTTTTTTTTTTTGTTTTTTTTTTTTTTTTTTTTTTTTTGAGACAGAGTCTCACTATGTCACTCTCAGTAGAGTGCCCTGGCATCACAGCTCACAGCAACCTCAAATTCTTGGCCTTCAGCAATTCCCTTGCCTCAGCCTCCCAAGTAGCTGGGACTACAGGCACCCACCACAATGCCCAGCTATTTGTTGTAGTTGTAGTTGTCACTGTTGTTTGGCGGGCACAGGCTGGATTCGAACCCTCCAGCTCCAGTGCATGTGGCCAGCACCCTAGCTGCTGAACTACAGGCCTCGAGCCCATTTGCCTTGTTTTTTAATTGATTATTGATGTTCTAAACTCTTCAAATAACTGTTCTTGCCAAAAGGCTCACAGTCTTAATCAAGTTTACTTTCTTCAGACACAATTCTGTGCCTGCTGTAATCAAACACAATTTAGGTAAATTACTTCCGTGCTTGGATAACAAATGGGCCATTTGGAAATTTACTCTGCGTGCAGCCTCATTTTCATTTTTTAATTTCATGGAAAATTCTACTGAAATAAGATATTCCCTTTTAAATTTTCTAACTTTCTCACCATTACTTCCTTGGAGTTGGGAATACTGTGATGAGTACTTACTCTGGTAACATCACTGTATACTGTACTTTAACACAAATACAGAATCATGATATAATAAATACAAGGCTTTGTCATATAATGCAATAAACACTCGACTGTGCTTTGAAAGTATAACATTACAAGTCTATATTTTTGTCACAATTTCTTATTTTTACATGAGGATTAACTGATAAAAAATAAAGTAAAATATCACAGCGCAGTGACACACACAACACTTAAAATACTGACTACAGTTCACCAAACAGCAGTACAAAGTCATGAGAAAGTTATATGGTCTCTGTTACAACCCCTCAACTCTGCCATACTAGCACAAAAGTAGCCATATGCAATATGTAAACCATTATGTATAATTATGTTCCAACCTTATTGACGGACACTAAACTCTGAATTTCATTTAATTTCCACATATTATAAAATAATACTTTGATATGGCTGATTTTTTTCAACCATTCAAAAATACAATAATCACTTCTATTTAATAGACCACTCAAGAACAAGTAGTGGGCTGGATTTGGCCCCTGGATTATAGTTTGCCTATTTCTGCTTTCAGCTTTTATTTTAACGATTTTGCAGGGGGCAAATTAAAACCAAAAGGAGCATAAGAAAGAACATACTAAAGTTAAAGGACAAAATCAATGAAATAGAAAACAGAAAAACAAAAGGAATTTATAATGTAGCCAAAAGCAGGTTCTAAAGAAAGATCACTAAAATAAATAAACCTCTAATAAATTGATCAGGGACCTCACCTAATGTGCATGATGCAATGGTACATTTCAAAAATATTAAGAAATAAGTATAATTGGATGGAAGTGTTACTCAGTTCAATCTAAGTATTTCACATTGTATATCAAAACAGTACCCTGAACCCCATAAATGCATCAATGTACAAAGTTATGATTTAATAAAAAATTTTTAAAAAAAGAAAATTGACCAGAATAGGAAGGAAAAAGCCAAAGTCAGAAACGAAGAAGGGCAATTACTGTAAACCTTAGAGATCTAAAAGGCAAAAGAGACTTAATGAAATGGACAAATTCTATGATGGTCATAGTACACCAAAGCTTACTTAAGAAGAAATAGCGTAGTTAAGCTGAACAGTCCCATATCAATGAATGGAATTGAACTTGTAATTTAAAACTTTACCCCCTCACACACACACAAAGTGCTCCAGACCCAAATGATCACCAATGAATTCTACCAAGTATTTAAGGAAGAAATAAAACCAATTCTATACAAACTCTCAGAAAATAGAAGTAGAAGCATTTCCAACTCATTTTAAGCCCAGCATTAGCCTGATACCAAAACTAGGCAAAGACCTTATAAGAAAAATATATACCAACATCCCTCTGAACATAGACACAAAAATCTTTAAATTTTAGCTAATAAAATCCAGTAATATGTATAAAGGATAATGCATTATAACCCAGTGAGGTATATCCCAAGAATTCAGGATGGTTTACACTTAAAAACCAATCACTATAATTTTAATAGAAATGAAATATCACAAGATCATCTTAATAAAGAGAAAGCATCTGAAAAAATTCAACACAATTCATAAGAATGCTTTGCTAACTAACAATAACATATAATTCCCTCAACCTAGTATTGAACATCTATAAAATACCTATAGCTAGCATCGTATTTATTGCTTTCCCCCTAAGATAAGGTGACCAGACGTCCTGCTGTTGGCGGGACAGTCCTGATTTTTAACAATTTGTCCCGTGTCCCACAGCATTTTTAAAAAATCTCGATTTTTGGAAAGAATGCATAACAAGCTAGGGAACAGTGGGAGAATGGGAAGGGAATATACAGTTTTCGGCTGCTGAAAAGGTTAATGTAACTCCATTTGGGAATGAAGAGGTTAATGTAACTTCATTTGGAAATAAAAAGGTTAATGTAAACTCCCTACTCCCCTCCTGGGCAAAATATCAGAAGGAGACTGGCTCCCTCCCTTGCTTCTAGGCAAGGACAATTAGCTCAGAAGGTGCCAAACTGTCTGGAACAAACAAGTAGCCACCCCCAGTAAGGTGACCAGACGTTCAGCTTTTGGCGGGACAGTCCAGATTTTTAACAAATTGTCCTGCGTCCTACGGCATTTTAAAAAAGCCCCGATTTTTGGAAAGAATGCATGACAAGCTAGGGAACACAGGAGAACAGGAAGGGGATATACAGTTTTCAGCTGCCATGTGGCTATATCACCAGGATATGTGTTTTCTTTTATTTTTGTTAATTTTATAATGGGGGGGGGGCGAAGCCAAGATGGCAGGCTGCAGCCAGCTTTTTACAGAAGCTCCAGTCCAGAAGAAGGCTTAAAGGACAGAAGCTTAGCAAGGGAGCTGAGGGTTTGGAGCAGAGCCAAGAGAGAAGACTGAAGAGCACACTTTAACCTTCCTGAGGTGAGCTGCGACCCCAAAAATACAATCAAAAGGTACAAAATCCACCACCAAGCAGAAGGGAATCCCCTCCCCCTACAAGAAGGACTTGCAGTTTACGCCACGCAAACAAGCAAGCAGAGTTCAAATATCCTCCCACTCTAACCCACGGGAGAGACCCCCTAAAAACTGGACCTCCTACCACTGCTGGTGTGCCATGGCACCCTCCTGCCAGGCATAAAACTGTAAAACTGTAAAACTGTAAAACTGTATAAAACTGTATATATTCCCCACCTGCAACATTGAACTCCGAGGACTCCATCCTCCTCCCTCACCCCGAGGTCTGGAGGTTTGTTACCTATGTAGTCCAGATTCTTGGGCATCTCCGTGAGAGAAGTGGAGGAGGAAAGGGCTGGTGCTGCTCTGTGCTGACTGTGGCACAGGAGTGAGGAGAAGAAAGTTGGCTTGGAGGAAGCCATACAGCAACAGTGGCATCCTGAGCTGTGAACTGACGCCATTCCAGATAGGCGAGCCCCGTCTCTCTGTGCAACCAGAGGTTCCAGAGAGCAACCACAGGCAGAACAGACTTGGTAACTTTCATAAGTAAAGAGACCATTAGCACCAGCCCTCAGGGAAATATAGCTGAGACAAAGACAGTGGGCGGGCAAAGGCTGGAATTGACACCTGAGTGTAAACTCTAATTACTTGCTGCCAAGAGCTGAGTTCCTCATCAACTCTAGCAGCCTCTGATTTGCAGAGGAATTCAGCCAGGACAGAAGGCGAGGGGCTGGAATTGAGAGAACTTTCACAGTCTAATTTAAACACGCAAGGCCCCCCTGCCGGACTCAGATTTCCGGGCAGTTGCCTACTGGAGTGCATAGGGTCACAGACCTGGGGGATTACGAGTGACTGGGTGCAAGGTAGGGAAGGAGGTATTAACCTTCTCAGACTAACCCATTTGCTGGGTGGGTCCCTTTGCCCTCACGGAGCCCTGGAGCAAGTTATATCCGAGCTGCGAGCAGACCCCTCTTATCTAGCTGCCAGAGACATTTGAACTTTTCCACCTGAAACTGGTGCTGACTAGGACAACTGATTTGGACCCCTGAAACCAGGAAGACAACACAGGGGCACCCTGGGTATATGGTTGAGGGAAGGTTTGATTTTCCTTGTCCAATTGTTGTTGGGGGGGGGGTGCAACTTAATTGCTGGTATTTCTCCATAGCAGAGAATTCAACCAAGAGTAACTGAATCACTAGGGTAGGACAGAGACCAGTTGAAAATAAGACAGAGCCACTTAGCCCCACCACACCAAGCAGGTCCCCAGTCTCTCAGGCCGTAACACCGTATGGGTCCTTGACAAACCTCAAGGGGAAAAGCCAAATGGGGTAAAATAATCATGGGACAGAATCAACAGGAAAGCTCTGATAACATGAATAACCAGAGTAGATCAACCCCCCCACAAGAAAGGATGCGGCTGGTAATATGAATAACTGGAGTAGGTCAACCCCTCCAAGAAAGGATGTGGCAGACGAAACTGAAGATCCCCTATGTAAACAGATAGCTGAGATGTCAGAAACTGAATTCAGAATTTGGATTGCAAATAAGATTAATAGAATAGAGGCAAAGATAGAACTAGAAATTCAAGGAACATTCCAAAAGTTCACTCAAGAATTCAATGAATTCAAAGACAAAACCACCAAAGATTTTGAAACATTAAGGCAAGAAACTGCAGCCCTCAAAGATCTGAAAAATATGGTGGAATCTCTTGGTAACAGAGTGCAGGAGGCAGAAGAAAGGAGCTCAGATGTAGAAGACAAAGCTTCTGAATATGTCCAAACGTCCACAGAGAATCAGAAATGGAAAGCAAAAACAGACCATTCTCTCAGAAAGCTCTGTAATAATTCAAAGAAAACTAATATTCGCCTTATAGGAATCCCTGAAGGTGACAAAGTTGCTTCACAAAACACAGAGGCTCTTCTTTATGGAAATTATGAAAGAGAACTTTCCAGATATGTCAAGAGAC